ATATCGATCTATACGTTTTATAAGGATAATGATTATGCAGTGTAATAGTCTAACAAAGTTCTACACGTTCATTTATACTGTGAATCCTGGTTTAAAAAAGGGGCCGAACTTTTGTTGATCAGAACTGTCCCCTGAAACTAATTGAAGTGAAATTTTGAACTAGATTTTCAGATCTTATATCTTAATCTTCATATTTAAGTGCCACATCAGTCAAATCATGTAATTACTGTCTAGTAAACTTATGCATTAGTCCTTCAAAGTCTGACAAAGATGTATACATGGTATAGCTAGTAATAAACATACATCCTTGGTCCCTTGCTGTTACCCGGAATAATGTTGATTTTCATCTTTATTTAAAGATGCATATACAATATTATTTTGAAACAATACACTTGCTATCTTGAGTTCTAATTCCATCAACAACTGCCAGTCCATACTTAACCAATGCAATATGACAATTTATTGCCTTTCTTGTTTTCAGCATACTGTAGGTGCCCTTTTTGTTAATTTTCCATACACTGTAGGTGCCCTTTTTATAAATTTTTGCGCGCTCTAGATGCTCTTTTTCAATTAAGTTACCATGCCCTTTTTGTGTGATAGGGGAAACACTAAATTACTACTACTAACCACAGCGTACATGTACATTTTTTAACTGGCCCCTTCCACTATTTCAACCAAGAATGATAACTTTATATGAAATGCTATAGTTTGTGAGACTTTATTCCTATAAGATGTGTGTATTTATTATATTTATAGTTATAAACCAAATCATGTGTGAATTAACCCTTACAACATTTGAGGAAATTTTCGTATACCCGTTCCTATTATGTACAGAAATATGAGAAATGTATGCAACTTATATGATTATTTTTCTTATTTTCAACACATATTTTAAATTGTGACTATCCATAGTTCCGAAATTTCTATCTGTATAGACCAATGATCAACAAGTGCATATATTTTTGTGGAATAAAAAAAATTATCAGCAATATAATAACTGTGCGAACACAATTTTTTACTAAAGTATTATTGTCTTTGGCCTAATAATCACAAACTAGTGTATATACTACAAGCGTCCAGTAAATCTCTTACTATCAAATTATGTAATTATGTAAAAGCTGCATTGAATATTCGATCTAATAAAGTCTCATTACTTTATATGTCATTGTATTATACTATTGTTCTCTGCTGTCTATTCATGTTTTATATTATGTAATATTTGTTGTTATTTTTGACATAGCATGTCTATGCTTTTGCAATAAAGATTCATTCATTCATTCAACACACTCTCTTTAGAACTGTTAGTTAATGTTAATGTTCAGTTGCAAATACTTCATGCATATTGAGGACAAAATCGGAGAAATATAGTAACTGGTAAAACTATTCAGGCATCTCCATCTAAAATAGAACAACATGGAATGATAACTATACTTAAACAAAAACAAAAACACTTATATACGATTTTCAAAGATTTTTTTGTTTTGTTTAATTACAGAATGAACCTTTGTTGCACATGTGTTACAGTACTACTTAAGTCTGTCTGTCTATTTGTCTGTCCGTCAATGAACGCCTATTTGGATAGCAGCTCAACAGAGAAGAATGCAAACGTATGATTGCGTTTGTGATCTGTTGGACTCATATTTCCAAATCGCCCTTACTTTCAATTACGAGCTGGTTGTATACTTAGCCTCATCACCTTGTGATGTTTGAATTTGCTTCTAATTTTTTTTACAGATTAAGTTTTGGTTTAGATGGTGTCACAGTATAACAACAGGGTTGAGTACAGGTTCCCCTGATGAATTTAAACTGGGTCCTCAACGCAGAGAGAAAATCCCGCACATGGAGGCGGGCCTCTATTGGTCCCCGACCCGAAACAATAATGAATACTAACTAGTTCAGCGAAACGGTTGCTACACCTAACCCAAAACATACGAATAAACTTAAATATAAAAAAAAACACATACAAGATTAACAAAGGCTAGAGGTTTCTGCCTTGGGACAGGCGCCAAAATGCGATTTATGATTTTTGACTAACCTGCCCCCTATACCTGTAGCAAATGAGGAATAAACAACAGCACTTCTTAAAACACGGGAAAAACTCAATTTAAAAGAGGTCAGAGTCCGATGTAAGAATAGGTAACAGAAGAAACTACGCAAATGGTAATAATAAACATAAAAGAACAAAGGACCAGTAGCAGTAACTAACATGCAAGCTCCAGACTTGCAGTACAATTTTGGGAATTTGTGTCATTGGTAGTACAATTTGCATTTCTTGAACAAAGAAATCTAGGGATATTTGGTCAAATAAAATAATACCCGAACTTATTACCAGAACATATAAAAATTATTCTTTTTTCTTTGGTTTTGTTCTCAAATAGAATTTTTTCTCCCATAGGATATTTCTTTCTCCCATAGGATATTTTTCTCCCATAGGATATTATTTTTCTCCCATAGGACATATCTTTCTCCGAAAGGATCTTTTTCTCTCTTATGATTTGCTTTAATCTCCTATAGGATTTTTATTCTCTCTTCGGATTTTTTTTATCCCTTAGGATTCATTCTTAACCCTTAGGATTTTTTTTTTATCCCACAGGATATTTTTTCTGTAATGAAATCCCTTAGGATTTTTATTAATCCTATCAGATATTTTTTATCCCATAGGATTATTTTATTAGACAAATATCCTATAGGATAAACCATATCCTGTAGGAAATGCTTTTATTTGTCCTAAGGGATTTGTTTAGTCCTAAGGGAGAAAATATATCCTGTAGGATATCTTTATTCTCCTAAGGGATTATAAATCCCGTAGGATTTTAACATTCTGTATGATATTAAAAATATCCTATGGGAAAAAATAATATCCTACAGGATTTTGTCACTTTTGTGGATTGTTTTACCTATCCCCAGAGGTACATTATTGCCAAATTTGATGATTCTACCTTAAAAAAAGTGTATTTCCAATTTGCACTCATGAGAAGTGCAAATTAATCCAAGAACATGTTCCAGGCTTTCAAATATTCGGCTTTTGGTGTTCCTGCTAAATTAAATCCAGAAAATCACTTTTCATTTTTTTTAGAATACTTTTTTTTTATAAAATCTGCTACGTTTTAATTTTTGACATTAGTCTGTGAACTAGCAGACGACTATAATTTTGTCATCGCATTCTAAACATGTTGATTTTGCAATATAATATACATTTTATTTCCTCTTATTTTCGTTACCGGTAATTGCTCTATTATTACAATTCTTATTTGGCAATTATAGCATGTCAATCCATGAATACAAACATGTAGATTCGCTCTCCTTAATTGAATGTGCATTTTAATGAGTTATTCGGAAAGCTAGTAATGACATCAATTTTTTTAGTATAAATATAAAATCATCGTCTGTCAACAGCAGTTCTATACTAATGGATAGGATATCTTTTGACAGTCTTAAAATGGTGCTGTTAATGGCTTTCCCAAAGTGTGCATAAATTCATGTTGTACAAAAATATTGAAAGAAAAGACAAATTATCACAACGTTTCCTAAATTTAATGCCCGAACAAGTGTTATTATTGATGAGGCTTTTGTTGTACGTCATTAGGAGATATGCGCTTTATGCTTTTTTTCCATAGTGAATGGATCGGAATGTTTTTTTTTTTAATAACTCATTGGCTAATTGGCGTTTCAAATGCAAGCACGTGGAACGCGATATATACTTCAACCATTTCACAATTTCAATGCTATCAATCAGCTATTACAATTATCGCAATCGATTGGTTGTGGACGTTTTTCTGAAGAAGAACATTGGGGAGGAAAAAAGAGGTAAACGATATCAAGGAAACATCACAAGTCAAAACAGAAAAAAACAAAAGACAACACCATAACCGACAAGAAAACGACAAATGACAATCGACAGTCCACATAATGTCGCACAAACACTGAACAACAAGAACAACACCAATAACTGTTGGTGAACTTCTTCTCCGACAGATTGATAGATCCTGCTCTACTATTAGCACCCGTCGTGTTCTCACTGAAGGTAGATATTTTGGTTTTAAGTATCATTTACCGAATATTGTTACGTTTTGTTCATTATAGCACAATGGTGGTTACATACGCTAGATATTCATTGACATAATAGTGGTCACATACGCTAGATATTCATCGACATAATGATGGTCACATACGCTAGATATTCATCGACATAATGGTGGTCACATACGCTAGATATTCATCGACTTAATGGTGGTCACATACGCTAGATATTCATCGACATAATGGTGGTCACATACGCTAGATATTCATCGATATAATGGTGGCCACCTACTCTAGATATAATTCATCGACATAATGGTGGTCACATACGCTAGATATTCATCGACATAATGATGGTCACATACGCTAGATATTCATTGACATAATTGTGGTCACATACGCTAGATATTCATCGACAATATGGTGGTCACATCCGCAAGATATTCATCGACAAAATGGTGGTCACATACGCTAGATATTCATTGACATAATTGTGGCCACATACGCTAGATATTCATCGACAATATGGTGGTCACATCCGCAAGATATTCATCGATAAAATGGTGGTCACATACGCTAGATATTCATCGACATATTGGTGGTCACATACGCTTGATATTCATCGACATAATGGTGGCCACATACGCTACATATTCATCGGTTTAATGGTGGCCACATACGTTCGATATTCATCGACATGCTGGTGGTCAAATACGCTAGATACTCATCGACATGATGGTGGTTACATACGCTAGATATTCATCGACATAATGTTGGTCACATACGCTAGATATTCATCGACATAATGGTGGCCACATACGCTAGATATTCATCGACATAATGGTGGTCACATACGCTAGATATTCATCGACATAAAAGTGGTCACATACGCTAGACATTCATCAACAACATGGCTATAAAGGGTTGGTAATATCAAGACAATATCCTTATAACAGAGATTACAGAAAAAAAAGATAGTATTCAAATAATGTTTATTTAATACCAAGTCGGACTACGGTACACAAATTATCATGTGACTTTCAAAACAATCATCAACAAGGACATTGGATTAATATTTTCGATCAATAACTTTGTGCATAAACTCAACATTTAATAACGGTAGACATTGTTTATGTTGAGTGGTTATGTCTTTGTGAATATTGCATTATTATGGGCTTTCATGGTTGTAAAAGTGTTTTATATCACTGGATGTAAGCTCCTTTTGGAGGTTTCGGTACTTCTTCAGGGTCAAGGCCGTTTTGCTTCATCTCGATGGCAATTTCAAATAAATAATCATAACACTCGCACCTGAAATTAATAAAAGATATAAACATAAATTTATTAAAGAGAAACGAAAAAGGGCATGCTTTAATTGTTGTACATTTGTCATTTTGGGGCCTTTTATAGCTGACTATGCGGTATGGGCTGTGCTCATTGTTGAAGGCCGTACGGTAACCAATAGTTGTTTATTTCTGTGTCATTTTGGTCTCTTATGGATAGTTGTCTCATCGGCAATCATACCACATCTTCTTTTTATATGTATTATTTTCTGAAAGAAAAGAAAGGCAACTAAGAAAAACATTTTTTTTTCAAAATGGCTGGATCCGCGCCTGAGATTAAGGTTATATAATGGTAACCGTTTTGTAACAAGTGTCTTGTTATTTTTGATATTATCATGATTATGCAACAAAAAAAACCTTCATCTTTTAATGTATTGTTGTAATAAACTTATTCTGGAATAATCGGACGGAAAATTTCATACAGCAATAATACGTCTGGTCTAAAAGAATCGTATATAACAAAATATATACTAGTCAGACAAATGGCTACTAGTCCGAACTTTTCATTACAAAACTCGGAAACCAATTAGTTTTTATATTTTATATAAGTTTTTCTCAGGTTTCTGACGGTTGCATGTTTTGTCCATGATTATTATATATTAAGTAGTTTTTTTCGATGCAAAAAAAAAAATAAAATTGTAACAGTCCATACATATTATAACATCTGCCATAAAATATAGAATGGCACAGACTTATACCTGCATGTGTGTATGTATGTATCTGAGAAAGGTAAAACAACAGGTTAGCCTCACAAGTTGCAGACAGGTATATAAAGTCTACATTACACAATTATTCGGGTATTACACAAGAAACGTATGCCAAACCAAATTATCAATACTTGTTATAATCATCCCGTGTACAATGTTATTTCCAGAGTTTTAAAGTAATCTATTAGATAATATGTTTTAATTGGCCCTAATATGCTAAAATCAGCATGACTAATATGTATTGAAAAGGTCCTGTCATACGGACCAGCTGTACCTACTTCCCGTCATACGGACTGGCCATACGCACACGCTGTATCTACTTCCTGTCATACGAACTGGCCATACGGACCAGTTGTATCTGCTTCCTGTCATACGGACTGGCCATACTGACCAGCTTCATCTACTTCCCGTCATACGGACTGGCCATAGCGTAAGACCTTATCGACCCTTTACCAGCCGATCTGAACCGACAGAGTTATCGACCCTGATTGTGACTTGTATAGCTGCGTTTAGTGAGCTTTACTGATCTGATATTCTATTTAATTTCACGGATTCGTACGGCGCCAAAATAGTATATGTTTTTTCTTTGCTTTTTGGTTGCTGTCTTTGATTGTATGTATCAAAATTGATTACGAAGCCTGATCGAAGCCCTTTTCAAAACATACATAGTCTTGGCTTTCTCCCATGTTGGTCCCCAAACATAAACTCCATGACGACGAACAAGTACAGCACAGGATTCTGGATATTCTTCCATTGCCAAGGCCATTCTTTTCTGTAAAATATAAAAAGCTAAAAATGTGCAACTAAATTTTTTTTTAGGGAAATTACGTCAATCTATACGTGTCTACATGCACTCTAAAGGTACAGCTTTGGTTGCCTTATATGGTAGACTCACGCTAGCATGCTCTAATGGAGGGTGTCGTAGATTAGATTAGATACTCAATCGGGTCAATAATTCATCAATTTGAAATTAGGTAGTTGGTTCTCAACTAGCACGCGGTATTTAGATGAAGTAGCAAAGACTTATAGGCTTGAAGACAAAATATAGAACACGTTAGCATGACAGAAAGGAGAAGAAAGTAGACAATACCTTGTGAACTAGCTAGCACATTAAAAATATGACTTATCGTGTTGGTCTGGTATAATGTAGGAATCGTTATCTTATCAAACCATCACATTATCGTTATGAAATGCATATGATATTTGCCGCTGGACGTTTAAACCAATCCCTTCATTATTCATTTCTATAAACAGAACGAGATTTTTATTGTAGATATTTGTTGGAAATTTTAAGTTGAAAGTGGAAATATTGAGCTAAACATAGAATGATCTAATCTATCAGTTCAGGATTTAAATAGAAAAACATTCGTCATGTTGTGGCTTTGTATACGTTGCTATCCGGTATTGGTTTTGCTCGTTGTTGACGACCGTATGGTGATGTACCGGTACTGTGCTTTGTATACCTTGCTATGCGGTATTGATTTTGCTCGTTGTTGACGACCGTATGGTGATGTACCGGTACTGTGCTTTGTATACCTTGCTATGCGGTATTGATTTTGCTCGTTGTTGACGACCGTATGGTGATGTACCGGTACTGTACTTTGTATACCTTGCTATGCGGTATTGATTTTGCTCGTTGTTGACGCCCGTATGGTGATGTACCGGTACTGTACTTTGTATACCTTGCTAGGCGGTATTGATTTTGCTCGTTGTTGACGCCCGTATGGTGATGTACCGGTACTGTACTTTGTATACCTTGCTAGGCGGTATTGATTTTGCTCGTTGTTGACGACCGTATGGTGATGTACCGGTACTGTACTTTGTATACCTTGCTAGGCGGTATTGATTTTGCTCGTTGTTGACGCCCGTATGGTGATGTACCGGTACTGTGCTTTGTATACCTTGCTATGCGGTATTGATTTTGCTCGTTGTTGACGACCGTATGGTGATGTACCGGTACTGTGCTTTGTATACCTTGCTATGCGGTATTGATTTTGCTCGTTGTTGACGACCGTATGGTGATGTACCGGTACTGTACTTTGTATACCTTGCTAGGCGGTATTGATTTTGCTCGTTGTTGACGCCCGTATGGTGATGTACCGGTACTGTACTTTGTATACCTTGCTAGGCGGTATTGATTTTGCTCGTTGTTGACGCCCGTATGGTGATGTACCGGTTCTGTGCTTTGTATACCTTGCTATGCGGTATTGATTTTGCTCGTTGTTGACGACCGTATGGTGATGTACCGGTACTGTGCTTTGTATACCTTGCTATGCGGTATTGATTTTGCTCGTTGTTGACGACCGTATGGTGATGTACCGGTACTGTACTTTGTATACCTTGCTAGGCGGTATTGATTTTGCTCGTTGTTGACGCCCGTATGGTGATGTACCGGTACTGTGCTTTGTATACCTTGCTAGGCGGTATTGATTTTGCTCGTTGTTGACGACCGTATGGTGATGTACCGGTACTGTGCTTTGTATACCTTGCTAGGCGGTATTGATTTTGCTCGTTGTTGACGACCGTATGGTGATGTACCGGTACTGTGCTTTGTATACCTTGCTATGCGGTATTGATTTTGCTCGTTGTTGACGACCGTATGGTGATGTACCGGTACTGTGCTTTGTATACCTTGCTATGCGGTATTGATTTTGCTCGTTGTTGACGACCGTATGGTGATGTACCGGTACTGTGCTTTGTATACCTTGCTATGCGGTATTGATTTTGCTCGTTGTTGATGACCGTATGGTGATGTACCGGTACTGTGCTTTGTATACCTTGCTATGCGGTATTGATTTTGCTCGTTGTTGACGACCGTATGGTGATGTACCGGTACTGTGCTTTGTATACCTTGCTATGCGGTATTGATTTTGCTCGTTGTTGATGACCGTATGGTGATGTACCGGTACTGTGCTTTGTATACCTTGCTATGCGGTATTGATTTTGCTCGTTGTTGACGACCGTATGTTGGGATTAGACAGATGAACAACAGTACAAAACATAACAAAGACAACTAAAGAATGAGCAACACGAACCCCACAAAACAATCGATGGGTGATATCAGGTGCTCCGGAAGGGTAAGCAGATCCTTCTTCACATTTGGCGCCCGTCGTGTTTCTCATGCAAGTACAAATTTGATGTAAATCGGCGGACTTGTATGTCGGACAATGCATGCACAGCTGGAGACATACACTCATTGTGTCAATTCACCCGGATTAGCATCGTTTCTAGTTTTATCGATTCAATGCAAGTTTCTTTTACTTGGTTTGTTAATTATATGTTTGAATTGGACTTCAGAGGTTTGAAAATCGGTTTACAATTAATTTACCTTTAGATCTTTTTCTTCTGGTGTATTTTCAACAATAGGCACGATCAATTCATCATCATATTTGTAGTTACCGCCTGAAAACAAATCAAATTAAACGAAAATTAAAACACTATAACAACGTAACAACAACAAAATCAGAACAAGCTTGACATTAGGATAAAGATTTATGTGAACTGTTTACTTATATGTTAGCAAAGCACAAGGTCGTGCGTTTCTAGGACTGTTTATGGCGTGTTTACACTAAATCCGTTGGATGTGTAATGATTGATACTTTAGTCTGAGCGTATATGATTTATTTATTAGATGTAATTGGCTTTGAACTAGCGTTCTCTAACTGCAAGTACTCTTATTTCGGTGCTTTGTTTCTATTGTTTTTATGTTGTTTGTTTTGTGCCTCGTACCGATCTTTTGAGTTAAGCCAATTTCCACTGATTTTTATAGTTTGTTCTAATGTTGTTCTGTTACACCACTGTCCCAAGTTAGGGGAGGGTTGAGCGCCCACAAACATTTTAACCCTGCCACTAGCCTGTCTTGATTTCAGTGATTGTCGATGGTTCATGTCTGTCATATTTGTTTTTCGTGAATTGTTTTGTTATAAGTTAGGCCGTTGGTTTTCTCGTTTGAATAGGTTAACACTTTTCATGTCGGGGCCTTTTATAGCCGACTATACGGAATGGTTTTTTTCTCATTGTTGAAGGCCGTACGGTTGACTATAATTGCTTATTACTCCTCATTTGATCTCTTTTGGATAGTTGTCTCATTGGAAATAATACCACATCTCATTATCTTTATATTGACGCATTAGAATGTAAAAATATTACTTAATTCAGTTAAGGGAGCTAGCTATTACCATTTGATTTTTATGGGGCTAGGATGAAAAATGTTGTCCTGCATTTTTTTTAGTTGTAATCTCTGTCCTGCCTTTTTATTTTTCACTCTATTTGGTCCTGCCTTTTTTTTTATTAGTTTATCCTGACTTTTTTTACATAAATTGTCATCCTGCCTTTTTTTTTGCCAAGTTGCTCATCCTGCCGTTTTTTTACTCAAAACTCCTGTCCTGCCTTTTTTTTTTAAACTTGATCCTAGCCCCTCCCCCCATCCCCAATAAAAATCAAATGGTAGCTCCGTTAATGTATCATTGACTTGTATTTATGATTGATTGACGTTTGTTTGTTCGTCATCATGCGACAGATTTTGATGATATTGAAGACGAAAACCAATTTTACAATTAAGGAATTTTGTAGGCTTTGGAAGGTTGGTTGAATCAGATGTTAGCCAGGAAAACTTAACTGTTATGACAATAGTTTCACATTAGTTTGGATAATAAAAAGAACTTTAAAATATTTTATTTATGAGTATTTATAGAGGTTTCTTTGTATATATAATTTAAGTTAAGTAAATTAAGCTATTTCCCAATATTCCTAGGAGTACTGAATTCTGAAAAAAAATACGTCAGTCAAATTTGTTTTTCGTAAATTGATTTTTTTTAATTTTAGGCGGTCAGTTTTCTCTTTTGAATTGTTTCACATGTTTCATGTTGGAGCCTTTTATGGTTGATTATACGGTATGGGTTTTTCTCATTGTTGAAATTTAAGGCCGTGTGGTGGCATATACTTGCTTATATCAACTAGATAGGTGTCTCATTGGCAATCATGCCATATCTCCTTATTTTGATAATCAGTGATGGCGTATGCGATGTTAAAACGTTGGTTCGTAAAACAGATAGCACGAGTCCGTAAGATAGATGATATCTAATTTAAGTGCGTACTTGCGGTTACAAACAATTACATTTTTGTATTAATCACAAACCTGAGTTATGCTTCTGTATTCCTTTGATCATTTCTTGATGAGTTATTCTAAATTCTGTCCCAGGATACAAAAGTGTTGCCATGACAGCATGCTTTGAATGCGTATGTATTACAGCCCCGGCCTCTTTAAAAAAAAACAGTATTCTGCCGTTAGAAAAATGTTCAACAGCAGCCTTGTTTTTTTTTTTTGTTATTTGGGGAAGGGGAATCTATTATAGCTATTACATTTGCATGTAATAATTGTACCTTATAGTTATGTTAAATTGTATGTATGTTCTCTTTAGCTATGTACAAAATGTAACTGTAGTTTTATGAGAAATAAACTCATTCCTTCGTAGCTGCTATAATGGATGCAATTTCACTTGAATATTTCAACTTCAGGACACTGCTTACCTCTCATGGTAAAGGCATTCATGAACAATGGAGTACATTGACTTTTTCGTAATTTTTTGGACGGTGGCGGATGGCTGATATCTTCGCCATGTATTGTCTGAACAAATAAATCTTCCGGCTGTAAAGAAAATTAATTGAACCAAATAAGACAATACTGCAATAACAGTACAATTGGATCAACAGCTCTGGAATAGGAATTTTATAACATCACCGAAATAAGTTCTAGGAGTTTTGTAAAATCCTTAAAAAAAAGTTTAAAGTTAATATATTAAGAATGTATTTTACTAAATTTAGATAGACCATTGCATTTTTAAAATAGCATGGATGTCTAAATGTTCGACGATAGATTTTTGTTTAACGTCTTTAAAAGACTTCTGGGTTCATGTACTTTCAAATTTCAATATAAAACCGAGGGGGGAAAGGGGGGGGGGGGGGGTGTTGTGGTCACGGACATTGTTCTTTTCATTTAAAAATGCATTGATATTAACGAAATCGCAGTTATGTTATATGAGTTAATATATAGGGCAAACTTAATTGTTTTCTTATTAAGGAAGCATTATGCGATAGAATTCGTTAAAATTCAATGAGAAATTTGTTTTTTAATAATTACTTCCAAAATATCAAATAAAAACAGGGTGTCACGGGCCTTATCTTCTTGAAAAATCCTCAAAACATAAATTGTCTTATTAAATTCAGTATAATTGTCTGTCCTTTATTTCAAAAGGACTTTTCCGGAAATAAAAAAAACAAAACAATTAATGACGCTAAATGTTTTGATATTTTAAGTTTTATATTTCAAGTTTAGATGTTTGTGTTGTTTATCGAATGATACTTGGTAAAATATTTTTAAACCAAAAAAAAAGTATTTTTTGCAATATGCCCGGAAGGGATGCTCAGAAAAAGACATCCGATCTACCTTAAATATGCTTATTTCATAGACAATACCTGCATTTATCAAAATTTACTTTTTTGTTTGATTATGATCTAAAGAGGGGAGAAAATATAGAAAATGTTAGCTATTACCAAAGCAACTGAGGCATGACAAAATGGTCAAGGTGACCTAATTTGGCCTCTTTGGTTACCTATCAATTGAAAGGTCCAATACGAAATATTTTTGTCAATATAATCTGTTGTCTTTTATCTTTTTCTTTTAACTATATTTTTGTGAATAGAAACGACTTTTTTATAAGTAGTATATGTACGACCAAACTAGTTTGATTTTCTTATTACCTTGTTACTGATCAAACATGAAAAATCTACGATGCTAATACTTGACTTCTTTACAGAGGTTGAGTCAGAATAATGTGTTCGGATGAGGTGACATGTCTTCCTGTGGGCTTTTACCATGTGAACTAGAACGTTATTATTCCGACTCGGCGTGTCGGTCTTGCACAAACAGGGCTCATATTTACATCACATTATTATATTCTCGTCCTGATATGCATGTAATACTTGCCACTGGTATATATTGCCGAAACAAATCAACTTCTGACGCTTTGACTAGAGGTAAAGGGGAGGGTTGATATCATATTTAACCCCGTCGCATTTTTACGCCTGTCCAAGTCAGTTATTTCTAACGTTCGATAGATTAAATAGGACAAATTAACCTTAAATTTTCAGTTTAACTAGCGTAAAGCTTTTTTTCTTTCTTTTTTTCCAATAGATTATTCAATCAAAATGGGTGGATTTTTTTACAAATTCTCTGAAATAAATCAAATGTCTGTAAAAAAATCTAAATTATTACATTGATTTCGTAAAATCCATAGTCAAAATCATGGATTTTACAAAATCACCATAATCAGTTTAACAATTTTACAAAACAACTGAAATTTTAGGGATACAAAATTCCCAATGTTACAAATTCACTGTAGCATACATAAGTCAACTTATAGCGTGGCATACCATGTTCGGTAGGATTGTTGCTTATGTCGTAATAATGACAAGTTGTAGAGTTCATTAAAGGTCTATTTAGAAGGTTTTTTTGTTCACATAAAACACAAGAAATTTGAAGGGTTAAACAGAGATGTGAAAACGAATCATTACGCCATGTGATTGAACATCAGATTCTGAAAAATACTATTTGAAATTCATGTTCATACTATTTTTTTTTCAAGGGCCGTTTTGGCACTATCATGTGTTTTCCTATTTTTAACTTTTACTCCAAAAGATTGTCTATCGTCGATGGTTTTTAAAATTATAAAAACCATAAAATAAGTATAATACTACCTGAGCCAATGTAAGTAAGACAATTATTTAGTAAACGTATGCTTAAATGACCATGTAAACTTGAGAATGGAAATGGGGAATGTGTCAAAGAGACAACAACCCGACCAAAGAGTAGAAAACAGCCCAAGGCCACCAATGGGTCTTCAACACAGCGAGAAAATCCCGCAACCGGAGACGGGCTTCAGCTGGCCCCTAAACAAAGATGTGTACTAGTTCAGTGAAAATGAACGTCGCACTAAACTCCGAAATATATAAAATGTGCCTGTCCCAAGTCAGAGAACGCATCTATATTCATGTTTGTCATGTCCTTTTTCCATTATTTATTTGTTAACGACAGACCTTTAATAGTTTGTTAACCTCATTCACTTAGTTTATATATACCAGGGGCGTAGCTACCTTCTTAATGAAGTGGAGTCACAAACTAAAGGGCGAGGGGACTGGGGCCGCTTAAGGCTCCCAGTAAGTCCAGGGCAAAGCCCAAGTAGGGGGTAGGGAACGAAGCCCTCCTCCGGAAGCTCCGCATATATAGCATTTCAAAACAATAACAACCGTAATAAAACTTGTACATTTTTGTTGTGGTTTTTTGGTCATCTATTTGTTTAACTTCGAATGAAGACTAGACATTGCCGTTTGCGTTTTTTATACGCCGTGAGAGCTTTTAAAATCACGGAGATTTGTTCCACATGCTAGTTTTTGTATTGAGCAAAGTAGCTGTATAAAAAACAAACAATTAACATAAACACAATACTATATGTGGAGTTTCTGTTAGCATAAACACCATTGGATACCAAATACTTGGTGGACATATTCTCCAAAAGTATGCTTAACATATGTATTTAGATGTTTAAAACATTTGTGGGTAAACTCTACAAGAGAGAGAAAAAGGAATTTCTAATTTTACGCAGTTAGGAATTCTCGAAGTTGAAATTAATGAACTTTTTCAGAGGGAATGGTACTTTATATTGACCACGATCTTTTTCATGGTCTGAATTTAGTGTCAGACTCGGACAGAGAATTCATTATAAAATCGAATGACCAAATAGTCCAGTAAACGAGTTAGAATTAACAATTTATTTGAATGCTTTTACAATCAACCATTCGTATTACTGGCCATATAGACACCGACATATGTCGAATTACGAATCTATATACAAGATGCTTCTTTTGTAAAATAAATAAAAACGTAATACATGTACTTGAAAATGTGTACTTTTTTATAACAGCAGTTCCAACTTCTCATCTACTAGTATACGGTAACTATTGATTGATTGAATGGTTATTAATGTCCGGTAACAAATATTACATGCACACCAGGACGAGAATCCGTTGACGTGATGTGAAAATTAACTATTCGTGTTGTCAAGACCTACATACTTAGTAAATTTTGAACTAGTTCACAAGGTAACAGTCATTATTCCCGGATCGAAACGAGTTGAAGAGTCTTCGTTCTAGTAAGATGTGAGCTTTGGGGCGAAGCAGAAAATCATAATGTTCAAGGTTTTTTTTGTTAACTCTAAAAGGATAATGCTTTTTTTGCCCTCAAGGCGAATATATACGTTATGGTGGTGGTACCGACAACTATGTAGCTGGTATTTTCTAAACAATGCCCGTAATATAAAAAGTTCCGCTACGTTTACACCAGTTGTATGTATACATGTCTTACGGGATTAAAAATTTCGCTGCATGTGTATTCCTCTGGCTTTTATTCTATTCAATTCCTATATATATGTTAACTTTGTCCCTATCTCTCTTTCTGTTTTTTTTTTTGTTTTGTTTTTTTTGTGAAAACGACGAGGATGCACGTGCTGTCGTGCCTCCGGGTAGCTACGCCCCTGTATAATACAGCTTGACATTTGTATAAATACCTATTGTTGATAATCGCCCGGTGACATGTATATGTCATCAGGATTCTTATCTCGTTGGTCATTGTCTCATTATTAAATTCAAATTTTCTAATAATTGCAATAGTTTTGAACTCAGGACTGCTGTATTTAAATAATTATACATATATTTACATGAATTCGTTCTTTCTGTACACCCGACGGAGCTATATATATTTCTTCACTGAAAATAAAATGAACAGTTTTGTACTTTTCGTAGAATGATAGATTTGATTTTGATTTTTGGTGTTTAACGCCACTTTTAAGCACCGCTTTTGGGCTATTTTGTGGCGGCCAATTTTTATTGGTGGAGGAAGCCGGAGTGCCCGGAGAAAACCACCGACCTTCGATAGGAAAACTGTCAATCCTAGTCAATTAAGATTGGAGTCGAGTGCACCCGCACGAGCGGAGTTTGAACTCACAACCTCAGTGTTGACTGGTTAGTGATTACAGTAGTAACTACTTAGACCACTCGGCCACCGAGGCCCCCTAGAATGATAGGAACAATGTACATGATTATCTAGTTTATATTAATTCCATTCAAATAGATTGAGTGTTGGTTGCTTAACGTCTAGTTGCAAATATTTCATGTATGTTCAGGACGAGAATAAACGAAGAATGAATACACTACGTATGTCTTATTATAGAGGTCGTCCGGAATGAAGGTCGGAAAATTTGGACTGCCACTGGAAAATGAGGGTACATTAGATAGGGACAGACATTAAGCATTGCAACAGCCCACCCACTGACTCTCTATTCAAATCGTAACTGTTATTAGAGTAAAACTGATGTAAAAGGGGAGCATTTTTCCTAGGCCAGGCTATGTTTGTTTCAAGATTATAAATGTATTATTATTTAGTTTTTTGAGCAAAGTATATAAAGTACGAACTTTTAATTGTGTCTTATAACCTCCATTTTCGAACCAAAGTTTCAGAATTAAAAAAAAACATGCATATCGACGCCATGCTCACGAGTAAGCAATTTTTTTTATTTCTACTACTAAGTATACTTTCTTAGCCTAGAAATATACCAAGATGTCAGAAACCATCGTAAGGTACTAAACACCGTTTTATATAAAACTGATATTCACTAAACTGGTATGGTATGATGCCTTACAACGGATTATGACGTATAAAACAATTTTCACATCATTTGAAAGTTTACATTCTAATTTAGCAATTACAACGTGCCCTCTTGTGGCATTAAAGTTTATTCCTGTTTTAGAGAGAATCAACATTTGGTTGTTATGTATTATTGCTCGTGACCAGTGTTTGTTGTTTCGTTTGTTTTTCTTGTGTACATGTATTAGCTGTCCGTTTTCAAAGTCTGGTTTCATATAATTGTTTTTCGGTATATGTAAACAAAAGCTGTTGTGTTGCCATTTCTTAATAAAAGGATCTGCACCAGCAAAACTGTGAAACCTGAGTTCGATGTACATGAATATACAAACCCTTGTTTGATACTGACACCCCCGCCAGTACCAGTAACCCATCCTAAATGATAAAACTGGTTACACAATTCTGGTATGAGATTACGTGGGTGGTCCTGTAAAATAATATTAAACTATATTTTTCTTGATTGAAATTGACATGGTACCGTATAGTTTATCTATTTATTCACTATATTCCAAACTTGTATATAGTCTCTTATATGACCCGAACAGTTGTACGTTTCCGAAACGTGCATGATTTTTTCACTGTAGTGTAAATGCATACGACAAAACAACAGCGATAAAAAAATATTTGCTCACATGGTTTAAACAATATTTTATTCAACACAGAAAATCTTGTGATATAAGTTCATAATATATACGTAGGACTCTAAAGTGCGATGGTACTCTAAAGTGCGATGGTCACGCTAAAGTGCGATGGTCTACGCTAAAGTGCGATGGTGTCAGACGCTAAAGTGCGATGGTTGTTTGTTTTTTTTTAAGTGCGATCAGATATCACGCTAAAGTCCGATGGTGTAACGGGAATGTGGTTCAGGCAATGGTTTTCTTTTACTGCTGAGTTCCTGTTACATTTTCGTTTATCGTTTTATTTATATATCAAGCCGTATTCTTTCTCTTTTGATTTATTTTACACTGGTCATTGTATAACCCTATATGGCTTGTTATGCGGCATGGGCCAAGGCTTTACGTTGACGGCCGTATGCTTATTAGTTGCATACATGCACGACATTTTGGGTTAGATGGATAGTTCATACTACATCTTCTTATTTTTATTTAAAGTACGATAGTTGTCCAAAAAGTGTAATGGTTATATTGCAGTATAGTTGGTATATCCGGAATTTAGTGGAAGTCGTTTTTGGTATATGTCATATTTGCTGTTGGTTTGTTGGTTTGTATATAAATCAGGTTGCTATTTTTCTCGTTTGAATTGTTTTACACTTGTTGTTTTGAGGCCCATTGTTCTTTATAGAATAATATGCTGTGTAAGACAATGCTCCGCGTTAAAGATCATACTTTAACCTAAAGTTGCATACATCAATAACATTAGGTCGTGGATAGAGAGTTGTCGTATTGTCAATCATATATTATGATGATATTTGTTCGTTAGGTTGCTGTCTAGTTGACGTATATTCATTATTTAACATAAATATCAAACCAAATTGTATTTTTTATAGAAATATTCAATAAGAAAGTAAAAAAGAAGACTTTTTTGGCACCTCAGCTGTTTTGTTTAAAGTTCTTTTTACAATTTTACAAATTAAGTTAACCTCTTCCAGCAACGACCAAAAATGTTCCAGATTGTGATCATTTGTTTCTCTCTTCTTTCTTTTCTTTTGAAAAAAAATCCTTAATCTGGACAAACATTCTCGTCATAATGCTGTCTAACGTTGCTAACGTTGATACCTTTGCGGAAAAACGCACGTAAGCGTGTTCAAATGAATAGCACAGACCATCGCACTTTAGCGTAGGCCATCGCACTTTAGCGTACCCATCGCGTTTTAGCGTCCCCATCGCACTTTAGAGTCCTACATATATATATAGTTTAAGGATTCAGAAAACTGTCTTCAGTGTATTTTATACCGACGAAGCAAAAGCGGTAAATTGAAATATTTTTTTGTTTGTTTGTTTGTTTTTTTTTAATATAAATAAAAAAGAATCAATTTACATTGTACGTGCTCAGAGCTCTGATACTTGCTTATTTGAGTTCGCTTTTAATAAAGAAAACCATACTATATCAGATACTATGTATAAACAAATAGGATCCTGAAACAAGTACTATTTTTTATCTTAATTAGTTTCCAAAATGTTAACTTACATGTGGGTAATTTTTATCCTTATTCTTCATCGTTGTCCAGTTGTATTGTGTAATATATTCCCACAGGTTATCATGCTTCACCTGCGTGCTTACCGTTTTCTTTATTTCATCTAACTCGAGGTTATGTAACGTATTTATAAGTACATTAAGGTCAAAGTGTAATTTCAAACCTGATACATATCATTCACGTTTTGTCAATACAATAATAAGAACAATAATGATAATAATAATTATGCTTATAAAAACAAAAATAAGTTAGTAATAATAATAATGGTGATAATAGTAAGAAGAAAAAGAAGAATATCAGCACTAATACAATTGATAAATTATAATAATAATAATAATAATAATAATAATAATAAAATAATAATAATAATAATAATAAAAATAATGGATATAAATTACGGTTGACAAAAGTTCTCAGTCATATCTGCGACTTTTCCCTCTAAATGAAATGCATGTTTTTAAGCCGCAGCCGGAGGCATGATATGACTCATTATGTCTTTGCATGCAGCGGAAAAAATGAGAAGGTAAGGGAGGCCGAGGCAGAGGAAAGCATGTGTTATCATTAGTTCTGCACTAAATCTCCAGATCTCAAATATTTAACAGTGATCATTTTTTGTAAACTTTTATTTCTTAACGACCCATCTCACACTCACTTGGCAATCACCATAGTCAGCCGAAAATTCAATAATAAAATTAATGTGTTTTATTTTCTCCCAAAAAATAGGTACTTGTGAGAGGCATGTGTTTTACTTCTTCTGCCATTTATACTTTTATTTAAAAACAAATCTTTAAACAACCTCCACCACAACCACTATCTGCAACTTATATGAAATATACCATTTGGCGATCATGTTACTTTTATCCGAGTATTTTATTTATTTATTTTTTCAAAATCATTGACTAAAGAAAACTGTTGTTCTGTGACTGTACTTGTATGATCATTCATAAACATTGTCCGATGTATTTAAAACTTTCACTTAGTAGAAGCACAACTGAACTACAACTTGCGACAAAATTTATATTCAACCGTTTCGGGAAAAAAAACCTGTAGTAAGTACAGTTGTTTTCATTGGAGTTCAGTATTTTTGTTAATATAAATAAGAAGATGTGGTATGAGTGCCAATGAGACAACTATTCATCCAAGTTACAATGTGTAAAAAGTAAACAATTATAGGTCACAATATGGCATTCAACACGAAGCCTTGGCTCACACCGAACAGCAAGCTATAAAGGGTCCCAAAATGACTAGGGTAAAACAATTCAAACAGAAAAACCAACGGTCTAATCTATATAAAAAACGAGAAATGAGAAACACATATGAACCACACCAACAAACGACAACCACTGAACAACAGGCTCCTACTTATTTTCTGTTAACGTAAAGCATCGGACGTCGAATCACTGTGATGTATATCTAATGTGGAAAGGAACATTACGACAGATTTAAACTGGATTATCTCTCCTTTAACAGAAGAAAAAAGTAGATTTGCTGGCATTACATAAGATATTTATTAGTATAAAATCCAAATAATAAGAATGCTACTAACCAACACAAAAACAAATATGTTACATTAACAAAAAGGGAAAACAAAGATATTTAATTATTAGTGTAAAATCCAAACAATAGGATTTCTACAAAGTAACACAAATAAACAATCAACATTAACAATATGTAATACTTACAAACTGAAAAAAAAGTAAATAAAAAATATATCTAAGTTTTTTTTTTTCTTGTTTATTTCTTCTTACTTTTCTTAAATGCAAGACAATATGTTTCTCAAATTAACATGAGACAGGAACCTGATGTTCAGTGGTTGTCGTTTGTTGATGTAGTTCACAAGTGTTTCTCGTTTCTCGTTTTTATATAGATTAGACCGTTGGTTTTCCTGTTTGAATGGTTTTACACTAGTCTTTTTGGGGGCCCTTTATAGCTTGCTGTTCAGTGTGAGCCAAGGCTCCGTGTGGAAGGCCGTACTTTGACCTATAATTGTTTACTTTTACAAATTGTGACTTGGATGGAGAGTTGTCTCATTGGCACTCATACCACATCTTCATATATCCATGAAAAATTATTTTATTTAGAACAATAAAACGTTCCATTATTCATTGTACCTGTATGTGAGAAGGGTCAGATCTTTTACTGATACCAGTTATGTAAAAGTTATGGCGCAAATCCGAGCGTCTCTAGTAGTAGTAAGATGATTAAATGTGTTATGTATGCTTATATAGTATGTAAGCTTTATTAGATCGGTTTGTACACGATAAAAGGTCATATACTGTCAAAGTGTCCACGGATATCAATTTACTATAATCATACCTTCTACACAACTTGCCAAAGAAGTAAAATTTATTAGTGCTTCGGTATTGACATATCTTTCTTAAATTTTCAGTTAAAATTAACAAAAAAGAAACTAAAGTTCCTGCTTACTTCAAATGACATTAACTGTTCTTTGTATGTCCCTTTTGGTTATACAGACTGAGAGGCGGATTTAGGGGGAGGAGACCCGGCCCCCCTTATGGAGCTACATATATGATTAATGCATAGACTTTTTACAAGTATAACTCCAAACGTTGGTTTGAAAAGGGCTCCCTTTTTCAATTACCTGAATGTATTTTTGTAGGTAAAAACTGAACTGAAGCATTTCAAACACACCAAATTAAAAACGTGTTATCTTAAGGAATTGATTAAATTCTTTTTTAACTTCATATTTTTGTTCTCTCCACCTTATTTTAATTTTGGAGTTAATTGCTTGTGTTTATAAGAAGAAGACAAATATATTAATTAATTAAAACAGAAAAATAATAATGTCAGTTACGAAATCCATATAATTTGCACTTATCACAACATTGAGTTCATGGTAACCTCGGACAGAACGGGCATACACAGAACAGGATGATCTAAACAATCAATAGATGTGATATGAACATGTCAAATACTAGGTTTAAATGTACTCAGTTGACCCATATGATTTATCGTTTTCTATTTTAAGCAAAAGTTTAAACAAATTTAAAAACTAGGTTCAAATGTATCGTTAAAATTGCCGGATATAAGATAAATACGATAAGTTATTTTATTTCCAATAAAGAACCCCTTACGAGAAAACCAGTACAATGATTATTATATTAAACAATTACAATATAGGTAATACAAAACAATCCTAGCTCAAATACGGAATATAATATGAGTTAATTATAAAGCCATATAAACCATAATGTTCAGTGTTCGTTGACCATGCAGCAGCATCCTATATTCATTATGAAATTAACTTTGGTGAGTAAAGTCCGCCTAGTGGTCGATGCATATGAACAAATATTATATATAGTTATCCAAATGGAGTTAAAATCAAGGGCACAGTGGCGGATCCAGGGCCCCGGGGTTGGAACGCCCCCTTTGTTTGACAACTATTGCTTTTGTAAAGGGCATATGGTTGTGACCCCCCTTTTGATATGACCTGCATGCGTAGGACGCCCCCCCCCCCCCCCCCCCCCCCGTTTTTAAAATGACCAGAAACGCGCATGGGGCATGTGCTAAAAGGACACTCACGCATATAAACATATATATATATATATATGAATATTAAAGCATTTTGAAATAATCTATAAACAAATGTGCAAAACGTATTATCTAGTCCTTCTCGTTGCTAATGCACACGGACAAGAATACTAAGCAGTTATCTGAAGGCATTTCTCACAATAATGTTTTTGTACAAAACTTATTTGGATTTAGATGCAGCCTCTAGCACAACTTGTCCCAATGATCCGAGAAAAAACAAAATCACAAAATCAAAATAACAGACAATGGAATACATTATGGGTATATTGTATTATTGTTTTATGAAAGCACACATTTCGTACAAGATATCATTATTTTCATTAGTCATTAACCAAATAAACGGATCCTTGGTAGTCAACATATCAAAATAAGCACAATATATCCAAGCACACAGTAATAGTTTGATACTTCTATATTATTATTTTGTTGGGTGCAATTAAGAAAAAAATGGCATTCATCTTCGAATTCAGAGCTTGAGCATCTGGGACAAGCTCTATCGTGTTGATGAATACCATGATATCTTCCCATTTGTATCTCAAGAGTGTATGCTGACATACGCAACCTTGTCAAATTATTTTAATATCAACACTTTGGATTACAGATAAAAATATGTTTCATAGACAAAGTTATTTTTATATAAAGTATATAAGAGAAAAGTTTACTAACAGCATGCAATTGTATGTCTGTTCCCATATATGTTATAAGACGGATTGAATTTTGTGTATTCCACTTGCAGTGATAAACATGTCGCGTATAATATGCAGGACGAATTACAAATTGGATAGATAAAATCCCTTTTGGGATTCTGTTCTAGAGCTATTATCTGATTTGGCTGCCCTCAGAATCCCTTATAAAGTCTATTCGGGAAATTTTTTGTCAACTACCTCACCTCGAACCGTTGCCTATTACGTCTATAGCATCATTCCGTACATCAGTAGCAGGTAAGAAATAAAAAGATGACTTATTAGTCTTTCAGAATCCGTTACAATTTTGAAAATACCTTCCCCATAAAGGTAGTTATAGATCCATTTTTCCCGAAAAAACTTGTGGGGGTTTTGGTGGAGGTTGGTGTTTTGCACCAGCTTTTTGTGTTATTTTTTTCCTTAGAGTCTTTCTATATGGCTTCATATGTTTTTGGTAGAGAAAGGAGTTATATTTTGTTGTTCGGTGTTTACGTTTCATGTTTTGGCTGCGTGAGTGTCGGTACATCCATTTGTTGCTTGGAGGAAAACTGGGATGGTTTTTTTTTTCTATTTGTATATTTTTAACGTTTAATATTCCTTGGCATTGCACAAGATCGTGTACAGTTTATTATGTTGTTGAATGTAATCTTCTATAATATACAGCCACCAGTATTAGAGTGTAAGACAACGTGATGTCTTAATGTAGCAGATTAAATATGGGTATGCTTCTGTAATGTACAGCCACCGATATTAGAGTGTTAGACAACACTATGTCTTAAAACAGATTAAATATGGATTTGCATCTGTAATGTACAGCCACCGATATTAGAGTGTAAGACAACACGATGTCTTAAAAAAAGATTAAA